CTAACTCTAATATATCTGTACGCTCTTCACGATGGAGAAAGGTTTCGAAGTCCACGAGCTTCTCATACAACTCGTCGAAGGACAACGGTGTGTCACGGGCACGCATTGAAGCGTTAAACTCACAGAAGGATGGGCCGAGACCATTCAAAGTAGCAATCACTAAGTCAAGATCATCCACGGGGTGATCAATTAATGCAAGTTCATCCGCAATGAACCTGATGGAGCGGAGATAGTCACTCACAGCGGAGGTTCCTTTCGAGATAGAAGCCAACCTCTCTTTTAGAGACATAACACGAGTGCGTGAACGATTTGCATAAGCTTTAGTAAGCCTTGCCCACGCATCAGCAGAGGATTTTGCAGAGGACATGATAACTTGAGCCTCGGGGCCACAAGAGCCCAAGAGAGCGAGAAAGACATAATGGTCCTAACGGACCCAGTGAGAGTATGCCGGGTTGGCGGTGACAGTGTCGCCGGTGCCAATGGTGGCATGAGGGCAGGGAGTCGCACCTGTGATGTAGCCAATAGTGTCATTAGCAAAAAAGAGGTGATGCACTTGTTTGAACCAAGTCGGATAGTTCGAGGTCGTGAGTTTGATGGGGAGGGTAGAAGCTGTGGGGAATTCAACAAGAGATGGGGAAGTAGTGGTGAGGGCCATTGAAACAAAAAGTAGGGTCTGACAGCACTAAGACCGTAAGTGACTTGTCAAAATATTGAAGTTGTTTTCTCATTCGCACTTTATAACCCATTCATTATCTTTGTTGTCAGATCTCGACTACGAAGAAACCAGACAAAGGAAAAGGCAAAATGGTCGTGTCTCTTTCCAAGAAACCCCCCAAGCCTGATGGTGAGAAACTACTCAAAGACGCCATGAAGTCCGTTCCGAAGGTATTTCGCTTTTTTTTATATGCATATTTCTTTATGTCTTCCATATTTTTGACTTAACATTAACACATAATAGGACACTGAGATCATCCAGTTAAATTCCTCTCAAGAAATGTCTCGAGAGTTGCCGAAGGATGTGCATCTGGTGACTGCAGCGACTCCTCAAGTTCAATCTCTAACTCTAGGCCTTTAACCTCCTTGTTCCGATTTTCTAACCTCTAATTTTGTATGCA